CAAATATGCATAACGAGGTCATTCTCCTGCTGGTGATGCGCACAGAAAGGGTTGAATGAACCAATACTGAACTAACAGTAGCGTAAAATATAGCTGGTTAAATAGTACTTAGCATGGTGACACTTTCTCCTTAACGTATGTAAAAAATATGAAGATGTCAAAACACAGCTGCTAAGCAGTCATCGATCATTTAACTAATTACACCTCCATTGTCTCCGATGTTGCATTTTGGAGATGAAAAGAACCAGTTTGTGCTATACATAGATATCTAGCAGAAGAGGTAACAGCTGGAGTATGTGCAGAATGCTGGACTCCCCTCAAAAAAAATGATTCACTCTTGTCAGCATCATCCTTTGAAGACCACCCATCCATGGCATTGTCAATTGATGGTAAATGATAGATGTTATACCGTAGGAATATTCTGGGTCAACAGTACCATGTACAATGTGCTAATTGGGTGTACATGATTCTGTCCTGAGAAAGAGTTAACTAAGCATGATTAACTGATCATCAGTCAGTGTGGTTTAATATAAGAACAGTGACTGAGTCACACCACACAAAAACAAAAGTTTTAGACTTTAAAAAAAAATTAGAATATGTGTAAAGGAGTCATTATCAAACTGGAGCAATTTAAATAGAGTCCAAGAGAAATGAAATTATTTAAAAGTTACACTGCTAAATGCAACAGAAAATTGTATTAGGCTTGTCAGTGAAAGCAAAAAATTCAAGGTACTCCGCAGATGTGGCCAAAATAGTAAAAAACAAAAAAGTTAGCATTTAGTAATTATAAAAAACACCAGTGTGAGGAAGACAGAATGATCTATACGATTAGGCAGAAAGAGGCCAAGCCAAGACCTTTCAAATCACACACAGAAGAGAAAATAGCACAGTCAGTAAAAAAAAGGGGGACAAAACATTTTTAGATGCATAAATGAGAAAAGGAAAGTAAAACAAGGATTAGTTAGATTAAAAACAAAAGAAGGAAGGTATGTAGAAGTGGATAAAGGTCTAGCTGACTGCCTCAATTAATATTTTTGTTCAGTATTTACAGATGAAAATGAAGGAAAGGGGCCTCAGTTAGGACAAAGGACAAATGAGTCATTTGTTACATGTGAGTTTACAGAGGAATAGGTTCTATTTCAACCGTCAAAAGTAAAGACAAATAAGTCAATGGGACCTGATGGAATACACCCAAAGTTATTAAAAGTGCTTAGTGGTGTACTAGCAAAACCATTAACAGTTTTATTTAACCAATCATTGTTAACAGGAGTAGTCCCAGAAGATTGGAAGTTAGCGAATGTTGTACCCATTCACAAGAAAGGTAGTAGGGAAGAGTCAGGCAACTATATGTCAGTAAGCCTTACTTTAGTAGTGGGGAAAGTAATGGAAACCATGTTAAAACATAGGATTGTTGAACATCTAAAATCACATGGATTTCAAGATCAGAGACAACATGAGTTTACTTCAGGGAGTTCATGCCAAACTAATCTTATTGATTTTGTTTGATTGGGTAACTAAAATAATAGACCAGAGTGGTGCAGTAGTCATTGCTTACCTAGATTTCAGTAAGGCTTTTGACACTGTTGCACATAGAAGGCTTATCAATAAATTGCAATCTTTAAGTTTGGGCTCCAATATTGTTGAATGGGTAAGGCAGTGGCTGAGTGACAGGCAACAGATGGTTGTAGTCAAAGGAGTATATTCAAACCATGGGCTTTTCACCAGTGGGGTACCTCAGGGATCTGTACTTGGACCCATTCTCTTTAATATTTTTGTTAGTGAAATTGGTCTTGATGGTAAGGTATGTCTTTTTGCTGATGATACTAAGATATGTAACAGGGTTGATGTTCCAGGAGGGATAAGCCAAATGGCTAATGATTTAGGTAAACTAGAAAAATGGTCAGTGTTGTGGCAACTGAGATTTAATGTGGGTAAGTGCGAGATAATGCATCTTGGATGTAAAAACCCAAAGGCAGAGTACAGAATATTTGATAGAGTCCTAACCTCAACATCTGAGGAAAGGGATTTAGGGGTGATTATTTCTGATGACTTAAAGGTAGGCTGACAATGTAATAGAGCAGCAGGAAGTGCTAGCAGAATGCTTGGTTGTAGAGGAAGAGGTATTAGCAGTAGACAGAGGGAAGTGCTCATGCTATTGTACAGAACACTGATGAGACCTTACTTGGGGTATTGTACGCAATAGAAGGATATAGATACTTGAGAGAGATCAGAGAAGGGCTACTAAACTGGTTCATGGATTGCAGGATAAAACTTACAAGGAAAGGTTAAAGGATCTTAACATGTATAGCTTGGAGGAAAGACGAGACGAGGGGATATGATAGAAACATTTAAATACATAAAGGGAATCAACACACTAAAGGAGAAGACTATATTTAAAAGAAGAAAAGCTACTACAACAAGAGGATATAGTCTTAAATTAGAGGGGCAAAGGTTTAAAAATAATATCAGGAAGTATTACTTTACTGAGAGGGTAGTGGATGCATTGAATAGCCTTCAAGCTGAAGTGGTAGAGGTTAACTCAGTAAAGGAGTTTAAGCATGCATGGGATAGGCATAAGGCTATCCTAACTATAAGATAAGGCCAGGGACTAATGAAAGTATTTAGAAAATTGGGCAGAGTAGATGGGCCGAGTGGTTCTTATCTGCTGTCACATTCTATGTTTCTATCTCTTATCCACAAACTCGGTGGCTTCGAAAGCCGAGTTTCCTCCATGTGTGGGAGTGCTGGAGGGCCTGGTGGTCAGTTGCCGCTTGTGGCGCGTGAGCCTCCGCTGGTGTTGACAATGTTTCTGAGTCATAGCCCTCTTGGCCTTCAGCCCGGGTGGGCTAGGGAGAGTGAGAGTTGGTGGGTGTACAGGTGCTGCACCTGAGGTGGCCCCTTCGCTCCCCACTGCCTGCGACCCTGCTCACCTGTTACGGGCACGTCTTGCTGCTCGGTCCGGGCTTCCCACTTGCGCTTCCAAAGTTGCTCCCGGAAGCAGTTTAATAATTCTTCGGCAAGTTAGCATCTGTGGTATCGTGATGGTGCTTTTGGCTTATGAGCGAACTCGCTTATCTTGAGTGCGCCGTGTGGGGGAAGTGCCACTAATTCTTTGTTCAATGCTTAGGGCTCGTTCCGGACGGATTGCTCCAGATGCCCAGTGAGGACTGGGATATGGGGTAGGAGAGAGCTGAGGCCACCTCTCCCCGGCTCGATCCCGGGTAGGCATCAGCAGATTTTTCTGGGTTCCTGGGTTGATGATAAGTATGAGCCTGGTGTCCAAGAGTTCACCCGGGTGTCCCCAGCACAACTGTAGCCCTCCAGAACGTGGACATGCCAATTTTCTGGGGTTTTTTAGCTGAAGTTATGATTTTTGTCAGGAGCTTGGTCTCAGCACATCTGCTCAACCTTGAAGCTAGGCTCCGCCCCCTCAGCAGGATAATTTATAAATCCTGGACTGGTAGGGGGTACTTGAGGACTGGGTTGAGAAACCCCGATCTATATAATTGAGATAATATGCTATTTGTTATATTCAGTATTTTAATTGCCAGTGGAAGGTCTCTTCCGTTCCCACACGATTCTACCAGGTCTAATCTTTCAAGCAATATTTAATTTGATAGCAGAACAATAAGGGAAATGCCTGAACATGAAGTCCCACTACTCGCCTTTTCTGATGTTCAAGGGGATTCTTCTGGGTGTCCTACCATCTGGAATTCACAGCCAATATGTGGCTTTAAACTACGGAGTTATCCGGTATAATACATTATTGCTCGCTTGTAACAAACATGTGGCTGATATTTTCTCCTGATCTCTGTACCTATATCCATGTAAGTGACGTTCATTCCTGACATTCCATTGATGTTATATTTGTGAATTTTATGTTTGGACTGGTGTTAATATTTCTATGGATAAATTCTGCTTATTTATGTGCCTGTTGCCACAGTGTATCCTGTGCCCCTGGTTACCACCTTTTCATTACTAGACATGTGGAATTCGTTTTGGTCCGAATGTGAATTCAGACAAATTTTGGGCAATTCAGACATTCGGGTACTTCCACCCCTGACAGTTTATTTTACAGGTATTTAGTTAAAGGTCCCCCCCTCATTATTTTTAGGGTGAGGGGGGTAGGTAGGGGATAATTTTATTTTTTTGGGGGGTGACTAGGGGTTTGGGAACCCCTAGTCACCTGGGGGGGTAACATTTTTATTTAGGGCCCCCACCCGCCGTTTAGGGGTGGGGGCCAGGGGGGAGGACATTAGGTCCCCCCCCTTATTCCAATTTAGTGGCCCCACCCACCGGTCAGGGGTGGAGGCCAGGGGGGAGGACATTAGGTCCCCCCCTTATTAGTATTTAGGGCCCCCACCCGCCACTCAGGGGTGGGGGCCAGGGGGTGGACATTAGGTCCCCCCTTATTCCAATTTAGGGACCCCATCTGCCGCTCAGGTGGTCAGAATCGTGAGGTACGCGTCCTGGAGATCGAGTTTGACCATCGAATCTCCCAGTCTAAAGAGGTCCCAAAGGCAATGTATCCCTTCCATCTTGAAATTATGGTACGTGACAAAGGTGTTGAGGGTTCGAAGATTGATTACCAGTCTCATACCACCACCTTTCTTGGGTACCAAGGAGATGTTGCTCAGGAAACCGGGAGTGGTAACCAGAACCTTGTAGATCGCGCCCTTGTCCTTTAATGTGTGAATCTCCTCTGATTCTAGGCCTTTGTCTTGTGGGGAAAAAACAATCCAATATGGTAGTGAGGTTTGGATTGGTTGTTGTACAAGTTCAATGTGATAGCCTAGAATGGTATCTAGGACCCAAACATCTGGTGTTAACTTGTGCCATGCAGCGATAAAATGGGATAGTCTGCCCCCCACATATGACAGAGAAAGGATGAGTGATGGTAAATAACTCACCATAAGGCGGATAGCCATAGGAGGATCCCCTGGTTCCACGGGGTGCCACGACCTACCCCTGGTCAGGAAAAAAGGTGATGGTACCTTGGGTTACAGAGGTTGGAATCTAGATGTGGCAGAGCCCTGATAGCCCGAGTACAAACTCCAGGAAGAGCGGCCAGACAGATGGCCCCGATGTCTGCTGGTCCCATCAAAAACCTTCTGAGAGAACACATGTTTCATGTTCGTTTGTGCTTTGTCTAGTGCCATGAAGGTACTGACATATTTGCCCAGGACTTTAACAAAATCATCTCCGAACAGGAGACCTTTTGCCTGTGTGCCAGGCTCAGATATTGCCAGATTGAGGAGTTTAGGCTCAATTTTCATCAGGATGGCTTTGCCTATCAAGCATATGGAACGTTGGATCCATCCTCTGATGGCCAAAAGGTCTATTGGTGCCCCCTCGATCAAGGCTGATTCAACCATGTTGAAGATCTTGGCTACAGGCCCTAACACATCTAAGACTTTGTCCTGACAGTGTCGCAGGGAATAGTCAAATCCCCTTTTGAACTTCCAACCAGATTTTCCCAGGAATTGGGCGATCTTAGGATCCACGTCCGGCGTAACACAGGCCATGTCAGGGACCGTAGGGTGTGGGCAGTTTATTTCTCGTGGCCTTACCTAGGGGTTTTCTAACTCTAGTTGCAATGTATTTGGCCACATGAAGTGGGGTCAGTGGGGTACCATTCAGCTGAACAAGGGTTATGCAGGGCATCAGGGTCAAAAAGTGGTTCCCCTTGAGGGTCTAAGATAGTGGAGCGCCCGCCTCACACCTAGCTTCGATAGCTGCCATTGCAGTCACACTGCGTTCAGGAGATGAGTCCTCAGAGTAAACAGGATCTATTGCATCTGACCTATTAGAAACCTCCTCTGAGTCTGACTCTGAGTCAGACGAATCATACAGGGGTTTAGCCCTCTTCCAAGTCCACACCGCTTTTGCCTGGTGGTGGCTCTTTTACGTGGGAGCATCATGTCCTCAGTATCAACAGTGCGCAACCTGTCCGTAAAAGCATTTTTTGAGGTATTTTTACCCACATAATGGGATTTTTTCATATTATCAGTGGCCGGAGGGAGTGCCTGTCACGTATTCATCCGCTTATAAAAATGTGGTTAATGACATTTACTGTCCACACAGGAAAAGTTGTGCCGAGCAGCAAACAAATGCACAGAAGGGTTAATGCTGAGCAGCAATTATGCAAATGGGAACCTGGTAACTGCTTTTGGGGTCAAAGGCCGGTTACAGCCTATCAGATCTAGAGGAGGGGTATTTAGGCCCAGTTCTCATCCTGCTCAGTGCCCTGTCGTGGTTTCCCTTGTTGTTGTCCGAGAGCGCGTTATTGATTCTGGTAATTCTGGTTATTTGACTTTGGCATTGTTTTTGACTTCCCTGTTTTCTGGCATCCCTGACTCCTGGCTTTTCCTTATCGTTGTGTCTCTTTCTGTTTCCCTTGACCTCGGCTATTCCTGACTATTCTTTGGTACGTTAGTCCGGCCATTCTAAGGTCCGGTATGCATTACCTATCAGTCCTCTGTGTTACACAATTCTACGTGCTGGATCATTCTGTAATCCTGACAGTGCCAAGCCAGAGGCACGGCTAGACGCCATGATAGCCGTAGAGATTGAGTGGGACAAGTTCTCCGACATCACTCCCATGGCAGGATAAATGGCCTGGATAACTGATTTGCTCATCATAGCATCCAGGAGCGAGTGGAACTCCTCTGAGTTCATTTTATCCTGGGACGCTTCCTCTTCCCCACCAAGAGTGGTAGGACAAGTGGACACAGGTAAGGTCTACTGGGCTTAACAGAGGCATTGGGAGTAGCAGCCTGCATATCAGAAGGGTTCTGCATAATGGCACTAGACTAGCAAAAGGGAACAGTCACCACAGTGGGTAGAAAGGAGTTAAACCTGACAGCAGGAGGAAACACAGAGCCAGGTACTGAAGGGCAGAGCACAATAAGGGCAGCACAAACTTTTATGGCAAGCTTGCCAAGTGTTCCCTCAGGAATGGCCTCTGGGGAACACTGTTAAGCTGCCTGACAACCCAGGCAGCCAATCCTGTGTGTATGTTTGTGTTTGGGCTGTTCGTATTATTTGTATGAGGGGAGGGTTATTTCTGTGTATATCTAGCAGTGTGGGTGGCTTCCCTAGGTTCCAGTGGGGACCAGGCTGGCCAGGTATAGCTCAAGTATAGGAGCTGCAACAGCAGCTGCAAGCTGCTCTACTCCAGTGTGGATTCCCAGTCACAAGTGCTGGGAGGAAGTGATCTGAGATCACTTCCTCTATGTGCTGCAATGCATAAATTGAGGATTGTCCTTCACCACCTCTTCGTATTAGCAGATATCTGAAGTTTCACTGGGACTCCTGATAGGACAGAGCCTGTTTGGCTCTAGCAGCCTTGAGTGCCGTCCAAAGTCACCTAGAGTGCAGTGCATGGCACTAGTGCCGTAGGTTGCCTATCACTGACCTAGAAGTATGTTCCAACAGCAGCATTACATTCCAACCCATTTACTTTCAGAATCTAGTAACAAACACTGCCTAATGCAGATCTATTTATATCAATTTTAGAGTTCTATTTTCTGTCCTTTCTGCTGTGAGGGGAGAAGCTAACCCATAAGTAAATGCTGCTGTGTACAATGATCAGAAAGAGAAAATTATGGGAAGTATGAAACAATGAAACAAATTTCTTTATTAAGAACGTATATATGTAAGAATAGTTTTAATAGTTACTCAAGAGGACACGTATGCATAACTAGTAATTATAATACAGTAGATAATTTGCACTTAGTGTAAACCAGAACTTCAATTATGAAATGAGTAATCGAGACATGAAACAGGTTAGGTGTGATCTGTATATACTTACTATTTTGGATGCATTTCAAAACCATAAATCAAGACTTCAAAAAATCAAAAGAAATATGTTTGTGCTATAAAAAAAGCTAAACTTTTTTGGAATGTGTATTAAATCTCTTGGTACTAGTCTATTAAGACTCTTTACATATTCCAATCTCTCCTCCCTTTTGGGTAGGTTCCCATATAGGTGTTAACATACGAGTGACTGTGCAAGATACATGCATGAGAAACATCTTCCAACACTCCTAGATTGGCAACAGGCAATTTACGATAATGGTCAACACTCCATCAGTTGGTAGATGCTTATTGAATTAAAGGTTAATTTTCATGCTTTTATTTCAAATTTTAAATTTGTCATGTCAATATATACAATACAATATAATTATTACAAAAGATATTTTGTCATATATATTACATAGATCAAATATTAAAAAAAATTAGGGATGGCAGTTGGTCTAGTTCGGTAGTTTAAAACCGAACAAACTACCGAACATAGTCAATATTCTTACCCTGGAGCTTGTTTCCCTTGTTCGTTGGAACGTTTCCACTGAACAGTGTCTTCCTAAGTGTTGTAGAACTGAACGCAGGGGATGCTAGAAGTCCAGCGGTGTTCTGGAGTTTCTGTGTCCTTTTTCAGTTCCATGAACTCGATGACCACCTCGTGGTTGTCCATAGAAAATGCGGCCACCAGGATGAACACGTAGAACACTGGGGTGGAAATTCTGTGGTCTCAGGTTAATGCGGCTGTTCGGTTCCTGAACTATATAGTCCAAATACACGAACTGAGACTTTTTCAGTGTATATTAAAGGGCCCATAGTGGGCCCTGTGGCTGGCAAGCAGGCTCCTCCAGGAGCTCGTCGCAAACTCACGTGAGAAGGGGAGTTTGTCACAGTACCTTTTCTGTAGCTTTTATAATGCTTAGAAGGTTTACAGAACACTCCATCACTCACTCCTAATTATACATTGTCCTTACCATATATCTCCCCCTTAAACAATTTTAGAACCTTGTAAAACCATTAGGGATGTGCATATGAAAAATATTCGGTTCAGCATTCTGAAATTTGGGACTTCAGCACTTCGGGTTAGGGGTAGGGTCAGGGGTAGGGTCATGGTTAGGGTCATGGTTAGGGTCATGGTTAGGGTCATGGTTAGGGTTATGGTAGGGTTATGGTTGGGGGTAGGGTTCGATTAGGAGCAGGGTTAGGAGTAGGGTTATGGGTAAGTTTAGTGTTAGGGTAGGGTTAGGAGTAGGGGTAGGGTTGGGTTAGGAGCAGGGTTAGGATTAGGGTTATGGTAGGATTTAGGGGGAGGGTAGGGTTGGGAGTACAGTTAGGGTTAGGCTAGGGGTAGGGTTAGGAATAGAGTTAGGGTTACCCTACCCCTACCCTAACCCCACTCCAACCACTAACCCTACCCCAACCACTAACCCTACCCCTAAACCTAACCCTAATCCTACCCCTAACCCTACCTCTACCTCTACCCCAACCTCTAACCCTACCCCAACCCTCTCCTGTTTTGCCACTTTTCAGAAATCCAAAGCACTTCGGCAATTCGGTTCGGCACTTTGGAGAAATTTGTCCGAATTTGCATTCGGAACGAAATGAATTGCACATGTCTAAAAACCATTTCAGTATCAATCATAACTTCTGATAAACCTTGTTTGGTCACAGTTTATTAATTAGAATCCAAGGTAACAGACACACACATAATCACCCAATAGATCTGCAATAAATGCTACCTCCTTAACAAGACCACATTAGACATGCAATATCCAGGGTAGCCAAAGTATGTTCTTATTGAAGTAGCCATTGCATCCACTGCCAACTATGTGTATCCATCTGTAACACCTCTGTATATTATTTCAGTAAGCCTCAAATACATGCCCATTGTTGTGTTTGTGCTTTCTCTGGGTCCACTTGGGACTACTAAACCCTTCTGTACCCATTGGCATTTCTCAAACAGTGTTGACCTTTGGAAAGCGGGCTACCAAAGGACCTCTTCGGTGACTTATAGAGATAGCATGAACAGATTCGCTGCCTCGACTATTAGTCATTTTAGTTTCACATAGTCTTATGCCTTAGCTGTTGTAACAACACAGGCTGCCTGACTTGTTTCTTATTTTTTGTGACCTCTTGCAGCCCAGGTAAGACTAGTAAATGACTCACTATCTGGCTTGGACACTTTTACCTTAAAGCAGTACACCTCCTAACAACCCCCGGCCTATGTGTATATTTTGCCTTTGATCTAGTCTTCAAATATGACAGTCATTCACTTGGATTCCTTTACATAACCATTATCTTACTTATTTTAGTTTTTCCGCTCTTCATTTTACAGATGAATTCTATTATACATTAATCAAGAAGTATGCTGGAAATTATATATTAAGCAATTTATGTATAAAACCACAAAACCACAAAATAAAAATGCATATAATAATAGCTATACAGTGGTTTACAAATGAAAATCCATTTGCTGGTGCTATTACTTATCAACCATTGAAAATAATGCCTCGGTTTACACATTTTTTTCGCAATACAAAGCAAGTTTCCCCAGAATGCATTGCACCTGGGAGGTTTATAGCACCGCCACCATGCATCTTGGAGCCTGTGGGTAGCACGTGGCGTCGAGTGTAGAGGTGTTGGAGGTGTTGGAGTGGCTTTTGCATCGAGTTCTGGAGCCATTCTGGAAATTGTTTGCAGTTGTTGTGGAACTTTTTTTGCTGCATTTCTCAATCGGTAGAAAGGTAGGGAGCTGAGCGTCGTCGCTTGCATTCCTTTTATTGTGTGTTCTGCATTGTGGGTTGGTTTCCATGCCAGCTCATTTGGACTTTTTTCTGACCTCCAGAACGGATTAATTTGTTTTCAATGAATTCCTATAGGAAACTGCGTTTCGGTTTACAAATGTTTTGCAAAAAGAAACGTCCCAGAGAACGCATTAAATTTGTAAACCGAGGTACCACTGTATACCTTTTCATGTATAGTATGAAAAGGCATATAGCTATTGTAACAAAGTGCCCTTCGCCACTTGTGCCTGGGGAGGACTAATTACCAGTCTCTTGCCGTATGACTATGGTCCCTGGAAGATTTTGCTCTTTGGATACGTTATTTGGGAATAGTGGATTTTATTAGACTGGTTCTGGCCCTTTAAATGCTCTGACAAAGGATCTGCAGTTTTGCTATGCACTTCAGATGCAGAGTGTGAAGAAAACCCCTGTTTTATGGACTTAGTTTGACTGTTTTATTCCCCTCCCTCCTAGAACACCAGTTTAAACCCTTAATAACTGTCATATTGTCAAACTCTGTCTGACCCTTTTAACTGTAATTTTGTTTTCCTCTGAGGAGGAGTTGTTTTGCTGCATGAGTGCTGTTGCTTTTGTGTGCTCATTAAACAGACCTGCTTGACCCTTTCTTGAAGCCTTGGCTCATGCTTGTGGGATGGGATAAGTCTGCAGTGCTGATGGTGTCGGTTGGAGTGCTCGGCAAGCACTAGGAGCATCGATTGGCAGAGGTACTCCGTCGGAGTGCCAGCGGGTCCGTCACAGCTATTATTATTATTAATGAGTATATAAAGGGTAGTGGAAATAACTAGTTGCTGATAATCAACACCTTCCCCTTCTGTAGAATCCTGGATAATTATAATACATTATTGTAGAATACTAGAAGTACTTGATGGTTCTCGCTTAACAAATGATCTAAATAAAGGAAGATTTGGGATCCTTGGATTACATATCTGATAAAAAGAGCAAAACAAAATGGTCAAGAACAACCCAAAGCTAACGTAAAACTTGCATCAAAATCCAGCCATATACAACTAGGGGAACAGGAATATACAAGATTAAAACTCCTCCACCTTCCAAAATTCTCAGGTGCAACTAGCACGCTACACCGCAATAAGATATTATAACTTACTTCTTTTTGGAACTTACAATGCAAATAGTAATAGACAGACTCCAATGCAAATAGTATTAGAAAGACCAGTATTAGAAAAACCCTTATATTAATTATATTCGTTATTTTCTTTTAGAGTTTATCCTCAGTTTATTCTCCCAGTGATATCATCTACCTTTGATAATTTCAGTCTTATCTACCATTATTACTTCAATAAAACACATAGGCAATCACATTATGACACATGTATATAACATATTGATGGCAATTGAATGCTCATAATGGCTTATATATATTGGAATACGTTATCCATTATGTATAATGCTAAATGTTGGAAATTTCAGAATCATCTTTATATATATAAATATACACTGCTTGCCACCTATGTGTACACTGTTAAACGCAGTATTCTCTTACGTGATAAATTACTTTCTGAACTGAATCTGAAAATCAAATAAAAATATAATAAAATAAAAAAAGGGTAGAGGAGAAATACAAACCATAGAGACCGATTTAAAGCACAGGGCTTTGGTGTCTGAAGTACAGTGACAACTTTCAAAGGAAACAGGAAAGGCCAGAGTTTATAATGGGTTGACAGGTCATACTTAATAACAGGAGAAGCAAGATTGCAATCAGAGTCAAAACAAGATTCATCTCTATAGTCAGTTTCTTAAGTGGTTGGAATTAACTCAATGGATTGGATATTGAAAGAGGGAGTGACTTATTATAAAACCACAGAAAGTGAACACATTCATTTTCTATCAACATTGCATATGAATAATATTGTTGCAATATATATATAAATATATATATATTGCACTACTTCATTAAGTAAAACATTGAAGATCACTTGTATCTTGGGTTAGCCTTTTTTCAAACAATACTGTATTTTCTTTTCAATGAAATATTTAGGAAATGACATCACAATCCAGTTCAGACAAACGTGATCAATGAATAGGAGATATAGAAACACAGTTTCCTGGAAAATGAGTTTCCCTTTAAGTTTCTGTATATGTAATTGGTATTATACATGTGCTGATGATACATTTTCTGGTACTGGAGAGTCATCACCTAAGAATCATTTAAATGTTTACTATTGCTGATGTTAGTTCACGCAATAACTGCGACATTAGAAACTCTGCCAACGAGTCTTTGTTCTTTTAGTAATGCCACACTGTGCCACGTGATGACACATCTCACCATATTAACTAGCAACAATGTAATCGCCATACATTACTCACTCAGGGCTGTTTATGAAATATGTGATGTCAACAGGAGCAAAAAGCCCAACAAAGTTACTCACGGTTATCGTTTGCCTGAATCATCTCGCTATTGTTAAAACATGCCACAATTTGCCCTTGAGCTAAATGACATGATGCCAGCAAGTACAGGAAGCATTATGTCACTAGTAACCTGTACCTGACATTCTACATTATATTATACACATTTAATTACTTTTTATTAGGCAGGTGTCTTAATTTGTGGTTTCATTTAGATTGGCTTTGTCCTCATTTTTCTACTTAATCATTAAAAATATATTGTAAATACAAGTGGGTTAAATGGTTAGTGCTTTACATCACTGTATTTACTATTCTCCTTCCTGTGCTCACGTACCTACAAGTGAACGCATGTTGCTTATCGCGACTCCTAATTTTATTCACCATCATTATATATATTTCCCAGACCTACACTGTTTTAATATTATCAAATAAAACTCTATATGAGCAATGTTGACCAAAATAATAGTATATAAAATGAGAATATAATAGTATATTGTTATATATAATATATCATGAATTGTAATTGTGATAAAGCATGAAAAGTCAAATACACTTACATGTCCAGTCTTGATACAGGCACATTGAAAGCAGCATATGTAAAAAGAGAGAAAACTGCTTGTAGTTTTTTCATACGATGATATAAAGCCAAGTAAAAACAAAAAACAAAACAAGACAAAAAAATCTTACAAAACTCCAAAGCACATAAGAGATGTGTAGCATCACATGGAAAAAAGTTAGCATAACTTTAAGGTGATTTTCAATGTTTTAATGCATATAATAAAGTGTGGATGGATTGCCTCACATTCGTATATAGGTTATATTGAATAACATCTTCTCAAATGGCTGCCTTGAGCACACAGGACACACATTGTATGAAACTCCTATGGTACTCCTTGGCATTGAGTAAAAATGCCCAGTGTGTGCCAAAATAAGCTTGATATGCAAAGTCACAGAAGGGTGTAAGTGTTACATATATACTGCAAGGAGTCCAGATGTTAAAAGAATGGTACGCAGGCACTAACACTCATTACCGCCAGTGCTATGTGAATACGCCTCTTTGTTCATCAACTGAATGTAAAATATACGTTAAGCATGATTGAGTAAATGTCATTTATGGAAAATTGTGTACATTTCTGTAGAACTGCAGCAAACAAAGCCTGACTTTGACAGTCTGAAAGAAAGTATTTGCATCACATCCAAAGGCAACACTGAAAAACTATTTGGGTACCAAGGTTCAAAATACACCTAACCCTTTAAAACCAGAAGAGTAAGCCAAGTGGTAAAAATCTATTACTTGCTCTTGCCCCTTTTTAGAAAGGCTTAGCTTAGTGATAACTAAGTTTTGAACCACAA